TCCAACTAAATAGTGTGAATCGGTCATCATACTGATATACATGAAAGATGACAGACCCTCTTGTGAAAACCACAGGCAAATTAGGTAAATAATCATCATACATAACTAACTTGGTCCGAATGGTAGCACATTTTATGGTTCTTATGTTTGCGCAAGGTATAAAAACCCTCACCGGGAGACCCGGTCATATAGGTCGTGTTGGGCTACATGGATGAGGACCCCGAGGTCGCGGTAATCGGTGTTTGGGGACAGATGTGGCTGCGTGCCCTAAGCAGTGGTGCTTCTGTACCTACTCATTATCCTTGCAACCTTAGTCTTCATGAATTCAGCATTTTCACTGTGACACTGTTTTCAACATCTTCATTTTTGCTCATTTATCCAAATAGACCACCGAAAAATAGCAACCAAAATAGGGCAAGANAGAAATTGTGTGGTGAATGATTGTATAAACCGAATTGTACTGAATCCAGCTGAGTTTTCGCTCCGTGGTCATGAGCTCACACCTTTCCGCGCATATTTGAAGTCATCACAAACTAATTTTCTTAAATGGTAAACTTGGAACTCTTCTTAGGTTGTCCTTTTCTTTCCTTTACATTTTGTTCGCATTGAAATCCAGATTGAATAACTACTGCTTTGATTGATATGGCTGGGTTCAGTTCAGTTCAGTTTTTACAACGATTAACTGTGCACTTTCATGTGCCGGTTTTGGTTGCCCATTTGAATATAACAGCAGAATGATGATTAGAACGTTGAAAGCAGATTTAAGTGAAAGATAGCACATTTTCATAGACTGAAGTTACAAGAATAACGAGTAGATGCACGAGCGCCACTGTTTGCGACACTTAGCCATATCGCTCAGTGTCTCTAACCATCAGTGACCATGATCTCTGGGTCCCCAGCCAGGGAGCCCAACGGGACCTATGTGAGCCAGTCTCCTGGTAGGGTTTTTATACCCTCATGCCAGGTCTTACCTTGAGCGCGCTTCATTTTTTCCAACCGCTACCTGTCTCTCCAAGCATCGCTCGCCGTGGCAACCTATCTAGTGACTGCATAGCACATGTCCCAACCAACGTAATCTATGGGGGTCGATTACCTGTTCCAGTGAACGACCGCGATTACCTAAAAATCTACGCCTAACCTCAGCATTGCTCGTCCGGTTTCCCCGCCAGACTCGCGCAATGCGACGTAGATAACGGTGTTCGAACACCGATAATCTATTTTTATCCTGTTCCGTAATGGCAAAGTCTCTGCACCGTAAAGCAGAACTGGTCGAACTGCTGCAGCATATACTCGACCCTTCTCAGACAACCGAATGACGCGACGGCGCCACAGATGTCTCAAGTTGGCAAATGCCAACTGAGCTTTCTGTATGCGCGCCGGCACTTCATCTGTGATGCATCCGCCAGGTGAGATAGCTGCCCAGATAGCAAAACTTGTCTACTTTCCCTGCAACTTCCTCGGTCAGGGTGAGGTTGGGGACTGAGTCAACCCAATCTTGGAGCAGCATTTTACACTTTGAAGGTGCAAAACGCATATCGAACATCGCTACAGTAGCACCCAAACTGTCCGGAAAAGCTCGTAACTGACCTGGATCTTCCCTTATTAGTACCATGTCGCCTGTATACTTTAGATAAGACAGTCTGCCACCTGAGAGTAAATCGATGCCACTATCCCCGCACGAGGATAGGGCTATTTCAAGAATCAAATCTATAACAAAGTTAAATAGAAATGGAGAGAGAGGGCAACCCCGTCGAACACCACTATCTGTAGTGAACTCGGGTGAAAAAGTGCCATAGGCTCGGACTCGACTTCGGTTATTATTGTAGACCGATTGTAATATTGAAATAAACTTCTCGGTCACACCCTTCAGGGAAAGGCAGTGCCAGAGCTTAGAGCGGTCGACTGAGTCGAAAGCCGCTTTCAGGTCGAGGAAGATGGAAATGGTGGGTCTANGTCTACGAAAAGAGTGTCTGTGTTCTAGAATTTAACGAAGAGTAAAGATGAAGTGTAAAACCAGCCTAGTTCTCACGTGTGCACTCTTCACGAGCGGCAGACAATCGACGGAGTATGATACCGGCGAGAAGTTTAGAGGCAATATAAATTAAATTAATTCCTCTGTAATTTTCACAAGAGGACCTGTCGCCCTTCTTATAAATCGGTATGATCACCGATTCGCACCATTCAGTTGGAACCTGTTCCTTTTCCCGCACTGAACCCAGGAGTTTTATTAATTCCGAAACTAAGNAAACGATGGGGACAGCCCGTCGGGTCCGGAAGCCTTATACCTCATGAGATAACTTGTTTCTCGGGTAACCTCTATTTCAGATGGAGGAATGTAAACTGGCAGTATTTGCACAGTTGAATCGGGTGTAGGAAAATCTTGTGCTGACGAGGGCCAGCTGAACTAAGCCTTAAAATGTTCAGGCCATCGATCTAGACGACGTTGCTGAATAAGGATCAGTGTGCCGTCGGACTCCTTAATTACCTCACGTCTGCTTTCCTTGGACCTGTACTCGTAATAAATCGGAAAAGATTGCGACTATTACCAATAACCACAGCCTTCTCCATCTCTCTACACTTTACCATCCACCACTTCTCGCGGTCATTCCTCAGACTCTTGATGGACTGCTCCAAGGTAGTTTCACTTTTACAACCACCAACCGTGCGCTATTATGCGCCGATTTTGGTCGGTTTCTCATGACTTCCTATGCAGATAAAGGAGCAAGTGGAAGACTGTAGTGTTCGAATCAGTTTCAGGATGAAAATAGAGCCGTTTACTACATGTACGAATGACACCGCTTAGGACATTCCGCAATATCTCCCAGTATCTCTAACTATCGATTACGTTAATCCCGAGGTTCGTGTACAAGAAGCCGAACGCGACCTATGTGAACATTTTTCTTGGTCAGGAATTTCATACCCACATTTCGGGTCTTAGTTTAATCACTCTTCATCTATCTCGGCCAATAACGCGCACCGTGACAGTCTATTTGGCGACGTGCTCAACCAAGACAACACAATGTTCTTTTGATTCAGTCTATGTCGCCCTTCACAAAATAAATCTTATCCATGAACCCAAAACAGATACAACGGCGTAACTAACAGAATGATCAAAGTTATTGCACATTCTTTGTCTTCCATCGATAATCCACTATTCCGCCTTCGTACTACCAAGTAGGGGCCCCAGTTGGTTACAGCATATGTTATCTGATGGGCTGATCGCCTATCGTAGGTTCATATTTCTTCCGTTTTACGTTAGCCTGTTCTTGATTTCGTGCGGTGCACCCATTTATGGCTTTTGCCTAAACCATATGTGTCTTGCCAGTTGAGTCTTTTGTCCTTTGTATAGTGAGGTCACTTCTGCTTATTAGATCGATCGTGCGCACCATACTCTAAACTTTTCATTTCGTCTCCATTGAATGTTCCTTCAGATAGTCACCCCTGGCCATTTTGCACACAGACATATATATTATATATTTAATAAAACAACAGAGTGGCGAACAAGCTCGTTTTCAGAGATTCGCATCCATGCCAATACATCTCAATGTATATCACTACTTGGAAATAAAATTGTCATGGGATATATATTGAGATGTATTGGCATGAATAAGAATATCTGAAAACGAGCCTGTTTGCCATTCTGTTGTTTTGTTTGAAATGTGCTCTGTGGGATTATTTCAACAATATATTTATCTGTATGGCAAAGAAATGGATCCATAGCTATACGTTCCCATTTATACTGTTTGTTCCCTTCACTTCACTCAGTGATACAACGAATCCACCTGTCCCAGCCACCTCTCCTAGGTAAGTTTACTTTTCTGCCTTTGGATGTGTTTATGCCGGTGTACAGCTTAATAAGTTGACTGGCTTCTTCGCGCTGTTGTGGGACCGTCAAATGATACCAACCGATTGAGATATGTGGATTTCTGTACTGAGTGAGAAAAGAATGTGAACCAGCTGATGATGCAAGAGCCGAGATGCATGTCTG